CCATTGTGAGCTGAATTGTGTCCCCCTAAAAGTTAAAGTCAACCCCAGTACCTCAGTGTCTGACCTTGTTTTCATTTCCTTCTCATCGTAGGGTCATTGTAGATGCGATTAGTTAATGTTAAGGTTATGCTGGAGTAGGGTGGGTCCTTAATCTAATATGATCGGCGCCCTTAGGAGAGACACTGAGGGAGAACTCCATATGAAGACACAGAGACACACAGGAAGAAGAGGGCCATGTGATGACAGAGGCAGAGATCGAGGTGATGCATCTACAAGCTAAGGAATGTCAAGGATTGCCAGTAATTGCTGCAAGTTAGGAGAAAGCATGAAATAGATGGAATAGGCTCTCCCTCAGAGCCTTCCAGAAGAGCCAAACTGCTGGCACCTTGATTTCAGACTTCTGGCCTCTAGAAGTGTGACAGAATAAATTTCTTTTGTTGAAGCCACCCAGTTTGTGATAATAAGGCAGCCCTAGGAAACCATATGGGGGCCTTCACAAATTCTCTGGCACTTGGGTGAGAGTGACTGGGATGGTGAAGGATTCTGCCACAATGTCATTGGAGAAACAATTAAAAGCAGGAGTTATATTTAGCCTAGAGATTTATTGATACTCTGACATTTATCTTCACATCTTTGAACGACAGTCAGATGCAAGAGGGTTTAGATTTAATCCATTTGACTCTAGAGGTAAGATTTCAGTTTGACACTGAAACATTATCACTATACAACAGTGGACTAGGAAGACCCTCGGAACTAGAATTATGAAGATGTGATTTCTACACAAATGGGTCCCTCTCAGTTGCTAAGATTCTCTGGACGACAATTATGTTTATACAGCTCAGTGCTCATCTGTGAGATACACCATTAAGTGGTACTTTCTTGTGAATCTAAGATCTATTTTCTTAGCTGTCCACGGGATACAGTGTCATACTTTACTGAGTCACTTACCAACTTCTTGGGTTATTTCCTCTTCCTCCTCTATTTTGCTTTACCTAGTCTATTGCCATATACAGAGTAGATAGTATTGCAGACAAACCCACCCACCCTCCAACATTTATTGATGGCCAACTCCATGCCAGCTGTATGGACTGAGAAGGCAGGAATGGATGCACTTACTGCTTTATCCATTTTGACATTCCTTCTTTTGATACAAAGTCAGGCTATCCTGTCAAACCACATGGGCATTTCCAGTGGAATCTCTGACTCTTGACAAGTCATGTTTCATTTTTTCATGTCTTCATCTGTATTGAGCAGATCTTTACTGAATCATCATTAGTTGTAAATCATTGAGCTAGGCACTATAGGGGGACGTGAGGATGAATAGGTCATGATTCATATCTGCAGGGAGTTTAACAGGTCAGCCCCTCCTCTCTATAATGGTTTCCTAGGAGACATAAGAGAGTAGATGACAGCTGAGGGTGTTCACTTACCTTAGTCTCAGAAGAGTTTCTTAAGCCTGCTAGTTGTCGTCAGTCTTTGGGAATTATGCTCAAAAACAAGGTTTGTCTTTTACAAGAAGTATTGGCAAAGGAAAGATAAAAACATGTCTTCTTTCTCTCCCACACCCTTCATTCTTTCTTCTTTTGAAACTGGATAATAATCTTGAACTGACTCTCTTCTGGGCTTGATACTATACATTATCTCCTACCTTCAATGCAATCCATAGGCCAAGTTGATTTCAAATTGTTTTAATTCTCAATGTAGATAGACTTTGTCTAGAAGTAGGGGAAGACGGGTAAGAATTTCAGTCTATAAGGACTAAAACCAGTTTTTTAATGCTCAACTGAATGCATATATTCCCTTTTGTCCTGCCTGCTGCTTTTATTTAATCTTTTTTCCTGTTCCTCATTGCCAAATAAACCAGTATCAGTATCAGCTAGGAGGGAGAAGGGAGGCAATGCACAGAGCTGGCTGCCGATCCCTGTTCTGTCCATCACCTGCTAACTGGAGCCTTGACAAGTTGACTTGCTGCTAGCCTGGCAAGGGAGAGATCCTGTATTTCTGGGGAGCTCAGGGCTCTGACTTGGTTGCAAGCCCTGGAGTTGGGGAAGAGGCAGGGCTTTCTGATTATCAATGGGTCTGAGCCCAGAGCTCGCTCACTTTCTGGCTGAGAGATGTTCTTTATTTCATTAGTGAAAGCCCTGGAGTTGGGGAAGAGGCAGGGCTTTCTGATTATCAATGGGTCTGAGCCCAGAGCTGCTCACTTTCTGGCTGAGAGATGTTCTTTATTTCATTAGGGATCCTATTTTAGCATTGACAGGTACACAAAAAGGACAGGGAAATCGTTGATGCTAAGGGAGGCTTGAGCTTGAGTAAGAATGCAGGATTTCCACCACTTCTATTGCAAACAGCTGTCTAGCTGTTCTTTGTAGCTGATAGGTGCATTCCTTTGATTGTTCGATAGCTAGAGTAGAGCTTCCAAAATTAATCTTTAGATTTCTTGATTGGCCATCTTCACCTTTTAAACCTACTTAAATCCTTTAAGTAAGCTCACTAGTAAAATTTGTCACATTTATTTTGTTGTTATTCCACCATGGTTTGGGCCCAACTCACAGAATCAAAGGTTCTAGAAGAATCCACTCAACACAGTGATATTCAAAGGACAGCCAAGTTACTATATTAGCATTGCACAAATAAACAAATATATATGACGAATCTATATTTCATTACCCCTCCCATTTTGTATTTTAAAAATGTTGGTTGACCTTTGAAATATTTCTCACTAGAATCGTTTATGCTTGTCTCTTTCCATCTTGATCATATCAAGATCTTTAGGAAGAAAACCCAATGGTTGTCACTTGAGAAATCTCTTGACCACAAGACTGAGTATTCTATGGCAGAGGCATATACACATTAAGGACATCTTAATAAAGGAAAGCAAAACAACCCAACACACATCTTAGAAGGAGACAAAATAGCAGGCAACCGGTCATCTGACCCTCCGAAGGCAAAAAATAAACATATCTTTACACGAAAGAATAAGTCAAGTGAAAGAAAGAGGGGTTGGGATGGGGACCGCCGTGTCGAGAGAAGACGCTGACCTGCTCGAATTCAAAGTGCTAGAATTAAAGGTCGAAACGAAAACGCCGACGACATGCCTCCGAGCGCCCGTGCGCCCCGGGGCGCCTCAGTCCTCCTTGCGCTCCAGAGTCTGTGCCGCGTGGATGCCGTTGCTGTAGACGGGGAAGGGCAGCGTGGAGAAGAGTCCCTCGGCCGTGGTGAACACGTTGCCGCCGGGCATCTGCGTCAGGCTGGGGAGGGAAAGAAAGGAGAGGTAGGGAGAATATACACCAGCAAAGCAACAGCAGGAATTTTAAGAAGTAAAACGGAAGATTCACAGACAGTAGAAGCAGCATAGGGTGACATTACAGAGGAAGGCCACCACACAAAAACCACTAACCCCCAAGAATCACTGATTCACTAGGACTGCAGGAATGGGACTGTACCACTCCGGACTAGAGATAGAGCACAGAGAAGACAAAGGACAAAACAACTACATTAGCTTAGTATATACTGCATATAGAAACACACATTGAAACTGCAATGGACTGACAGCCAAGGACACGTACACATTGTACACATTACAGTTCTCACATCTGTTATTAGACGCCTTAACAAACAGCTGCCAAAAATGAAGTGGAAGAAGAATTTATACTTGACAGTCATTTGGAGTGTTTGACACCACACTGATTTCTGGCAACAAAGACAAAATAGGATATTTTTTTCTTTTCTTTTTTTCTTTTTTTTTCTTTTTTACTTAATGTGCAGTTTTCAGTTGCAGTTATCTGTCTGAAGCTTATTAACCCATTCTTTAGTTTTAAAACTTATTGGTTTCAACCCAGAAATAAGAACCAAAGGGAAATAAATTCCATCAAATCGAATCAGTCCCCCATAATACAACCTTTTTTTAAGCAAGAAATGAAAAATACCAAAAACATGTTAAATATTTTTCCTTCTTTTACTCTGAAGTGTTATTGATGTTGAAAATTAGCCTCAGTTAGACTGAGTAAGAAAAAAAAAAAAAAAGCTCAACAAAAGGCAATATGTACCTAAACTGCTCCTCAAATCAGTTTGAGTTTTCCACAAGCCCCTTTAAAAGGGGCTTTACTGATGCATTAAATTTAATGTGAGGCTATGTTTGTTAGTTGGGAGGTAAAAAATTTTAAGTCCTGCAGCAAACGTTAATGAGGGCTTTGTCTTAACTAACCAAGGAGACTGCAGCAATGGACTCCAGACCAGGACAGAACACATTTTTTTTTTCTTTTTCCAAAACCCAGCCCAGGAGCTGCATTTTGTATGAAGACATTACAGATTAATAAATGATAGCACCATGGTTTTAGAAATTAAGTTAATGTTTCAGTAATTAACATTTAGTCCAACTTTTTTTTTTTTTTTAACATTCTAGTCACAGGCCAGAAATTAAGTTTAAGAACCCAAATTATTTTTATGTGCAAGTAAGAAAATCTTAAAATCTTAACCATAAAAAGAATTAAATTCTGCATAAAATTCTAAAATACTATTCCCCTATTTTTAAAGGAATTAATTAGGAACAGAAACAAAAAAACCACCCCATGTCATTTGACTTAGTCAAACAGGGCACATCGTTTATGCTTGTCTCTTTCCATCTTGATCATATCAAGATCTTTAGGAAGAAAACCCAATGGTTGTCACTTGAGAAATCTCTTGACCACAAGACTGAGTATTCTATGGCAGAGGCATATACACATTAAGGACATCTTAATAAAGGAAAGCAAAACAACCCAACACACATCTTAGAAGGAGACAAAATAGCAGGCAACCGGTCATCTGACCCTCCGAAGGCAAAAAATAAACATATCTTTACACGAAAGAATAAGTCAAGTGAAAGAAAGAGGGGTTGGGATGGGGACCGCCGTGTCGAGAGAAGACGCTGACCTGCTCGAATTCAAAGTGCTAGAATTAAAGGTCGAAACGAAAACGCCGACGACATGCCTCCGAGCGCCCGTGCGCCCCGGGGTGCCTCAGTCCTCCTTGCGCTCCAGAGTCTGTGCCGCGTGGATGCCGTTGCTGTAGACGGGGAAGGGCAGCGTGGAGAAGAGTCCCTCGGCCGTGGTGAACACGTTGCCGCCGGGCATCTGCGTCAGGCTGGCCGCGCTCACGGCGCCGCCGAACGGTCCCGACATGTTGAGCCGGTGCACGTGGTGGTAGAGCATCTCCATGGGCGTCTTGGGGTCGAGGCCAAAGCCGGGGCTGTTAACGTCCACGAAGTTAACAGCGTGCGCGTTGGGCAGCAGGTTGCCCTGCATGGCCAGGGTCACCTCGGCGGGCGCGTAGCGGATGGTGCCCGTGGTGTAGACCCTCTGCGCGGCCGTGCTGGTGGCGGCCAGGGTCCCGGTCACCCGGTGCACCAGCGGGAGCACGACGTTGCCCGCCTGCAACCTCTGCAGCGCCTCCAGGTCCCCAGTGTACAGCAAGGAATTGGACGCGCTGGGGCCGCCGCCG